TCCTTTCACAAGGATAATTCCACCAATAGTTCTCTGTTAGTCCAGCCATATTTTCACATGTCACCAATAGTTCTCCGTTAGTCCAGCCATATTTTCACATGTCACCAATAGTTCTCTGTTAGTCAAGCCATATTTTCACATGTCACCAATAGTTCTCCGTTAGTCCAGCTATATTTTCACATGTCACCAACAGTTGTCTTTCCGTCCACTCCGCAGAGTTCGTGAGGGCAGCCCAGGGTTTCTGTGTGGTGGGCATGCTGACCTATGCCCTGTCTGTCATCATCCTGATTGCTTACGTCACCGTGCAGTTCCTGCAGAGGATCCGAGGAGTCCTCATCGCGCTCTGTCTGCTCATCTTTACTGCAGGTACGACACTCACGGGGTTTTTCCTACCGTAAACCTTGGTGACTAAGGCTTCCGGGCCATGGACACTCACGCCTCACAACATTTCCCCAGATCTGATCGCTTTTAAGGACAAGCGGGCTAACCCAGGTTTCGGGGGTTTCCAGAAATCTTGACCTACACCAAAAGTGTGGGTATTGCCCTACCTATAGGATAAGTTTGGTTTCATCGGTGTGTATATTAATGTGTTTGGTTATAGAGAAAATTCTTTTTTTCTTTTAAAGAAACTGAACAAGGGGCAAAAACGTTACCTTCGATTTTCTCAAAACTGCATTTTTCGGGATACCCCCCTTGTTTTTCCAGTCACAGGGTTTAGGCGTGAGGCACGGGCGCGAGACGCGAGGCGTGAGTTTCTATGGCCCGGAAGTCGAAGGCATATCAGGGAAAATGTTATGATGATTTTTAGATTTTTTTATTTTTTTTCGATATCAAAAGTGATTCTGAGTATTTTTTTAATGCATTACCCAAAAGAGTAATCAATTTGAGGTGTATTTACATTTTTCCAGCTATATGCCTTAGTCACCCCAGCTTCCAGTACCTTTCTTTTTTTCGTTTTGTTTTGTTTTGTTTTGTTTTGTTTGTTTGTTTTTCTACTTTCTTCTTTGGATCGTTCATCTGTTCATCATCCTATTCTGTCGTTAAAGATTTTCTGTTCGTAAATGTAGATTCATTCGTTCTAGCTTTTATTTGTTCATTTGTAAATTGATTAATTTTCCTTTGTCGTATTTTTATGCATTCAAACCTTGATTGTTACAATATTTATTGTTTATAGCGTGCGCGTTTTTTCTTCCTCGTTCGCCTAGAAATTAATTCGTTTATTGTCTCGTTTAATTAGTTCAGTGGTTGAGTATATCTATTTGTTCGTTCTATCTTTCATTTTTTCATGCGGTGATTAATTAACTCGTTTGTTGTATATTTCTTTCGTTCAGACGTTCGTCGATTGTTAGAGTATTTGCTCTATACAGTTTGTTGTTGTTGCTGTCAATAATGCTGTTGTTGTTAATGATGTTGTTTTTGTTGTTAATAATATGTTTGTTGTTGTTGTTGTTGTTAATAATGTTGTTGTTAATGATGTTGTTGTTGTTGTTAATAATGTTGTTGTTAATAATATTGTTGCTGTTGTTGTTGTTGTTGTTAATAATGTTGTTGTTAATGATGTTGTTGTTGAAGTTTTTGTTGTTGTTGTTGTTATTGTTGTTGTTTTGCTTTGTTTTGTTTTGGAGCGGCTGCGGGGGGGGGGGAGCTGTTTCAACCTGCGATTTCTGCGATTGTTTTTTTCATCCGCAAATCGAAGTCTTTCGCGGAATCGTAAAACGTGTGACAAAATGGTGCGCATGCGGAAAAAAAACATACTGTGTGGCCTAAAGTAATCGTTTGTAGCATGGTTTTTCATTCGTTGGTTTTTTCATACTCAATTCGCTTCTGTATTCATTTGAACGTTCTGTCGCCGTCTAGTTAGCTATTCCTTCCTTGATAAATCAATATCTCCATCTATTGTCAAAAAAGATTGAGTCGTTCATTCCTTCACTCACTCTGTCTGACAACTGTGGTGAAGCAGCCTGGAGTTTCGTCGTTTCATGCAGAAGAAGTGAGTTCGAATCCTGCTTGAGGAGAATCTTCTCCCGTGTATTTTTCCGTGTTTCTGTTAGGGACATTGTATCCATCTCAGCCCGGGTCTGTCTGTTGGGACATTGTATCCCTCTCAGCCCGGGTCTGTCTGCTGGGATGTTTTATCCCTCTCAGCCCGGGTCTGTCTGTTGGGACATTGTATCCCTCTCAGCCCGGGTCTGTCTGCTGGGACATTGTATCCCTTTCAGCCCGGGTCTGTCTGCTGGGATGTTGTATCCCTCTCAGCCCGCGTCTGTCTGTTGGAATGTTGCTTCCCTCTCAGCCCGCGTCTGTCTGTTGGGATGTTGCATCCCTCTCAGCCCAATTTGGCCCGGACAGGCAGCCTAGGTTGGAAAACTACCACCTCAATGATCTAGAAAGCGAGTCGAAGGGAGCATAAAACACCTATATTTTTAAAAAAACGTCTGTCAATAACTTTCTTTCTTTCATTCTTTCACTTCCTGTATACTTTAGCACCTCACCAGCATTACCACTGTCTCTGTGGAAAATCAATGGAGTTATCTCGTATTCTCCACGCCAACAAGACTTTTTCCCATAATCCTGTAAGGCGTTTTCCTTCAGTAATTACATCTGCCATAAGAATCAGGGCACCGAGGCCAACAAACAGCTTCGTGACAAAACGCATTTATTCCATCTACCCACCACAAAACTGGGACAAATGTGGGGAAAACGAACTAAAAAAAAAAAGCATTGACAAAACATCATGCTATTATAGAGTCTACTGAATAACAACATAGAGTTTACTGAATAACGACATAGTCTACTGAATAACGACATAGTTCTACTGAATAACCACACAGAGTCTACTGTATAACCACATACTGTATAACCACATAGAGTCTACTGAATAACCACACAGAGTCTACTGTA